CGAAGTTACCCCCCCCCCGCCTCCTGCGTGTCGGCTGCTGCGGTGGCCACCTGCGACGCGCTGACACCCTGCTCACCTGCGTCGTCCTCGCTGGCAGACTCGAAGGCTGCTCCAAACTCGCAGGAGGAAGAACTAGAGGAAGCAGAAAATGCCGTTTCGTGACTCCGGGGCCCCCAAGACCAGGAGTGGGTGTCGCAGAATGGCATTTCTTGCTCGTCTAAGGGGCTGTGGCCTGCGGTCCGGCCCGGGGCCTGGGTGGGAGGGCAGCAGGTCCTCGCTGCAGTGCCCTACAGGCTACCCGCCCGAGCTGGGCCTGGCACTCCATGCCCAGCTGAGAGGTCCAGGCGTGTGGGGAGAGGGCCAGGAGTTTTCGAGGGGCGCTTTCACCCCACCTGCGTTCCCACAGCTCAGGCCACACCACCCCTTAGGCCCGCGGGCACGTGATGCTGACGCCCAGAGTTCACGTGGTTACCTCTGGGAGCTGAAGGAGCTGTCGCTGCCATCTGGACAGGCTGCAGGCTCTCGGGAAGCTGCATGCTGAGTGTCACCGTCAGGGCCCAGAGGAGCCTCCTCCACTGGGGACCTGCTCCGGGGAGGGAGGCCTCCGCCAGGGTGCTGCTGCCTTCGACGATGGCCGTCCTTGGCCACAGCATGCTCCTGAGACTTCTGGGACCCGGGGCCCACAGTGGCTGCCAGCTGGGTGCAGCCTCCAGCCCTGGGAGGCCTGCAGGTCTCGGTGTGGCTCTGGCTGCCAGGTGCCTCCAGGGGCGTCTGTGAGGGTGGGATCTCCTCGTCGGAGCCTGAGTCCAGGGTCTGGTGGGTATACTGGAAGATCTCTTTCAGCTTCAGAACCATCTGGCGCTTCGGCAGAGGGCGGACGCCAAACCTGCGGCGAGTCCAGGAGCTCAGACTCGGGCCTCGGGCCTCGTCAGCACATGCTCAAGGGGCAGCTGCCAAGCTCAGCGCCTCTGCATGCCCACGACTCCCCAGGCCTGACTTCTACACGTGTGCCAGGTTCGTGAGTATCCTACTTGCCAGCCTACTCTAAAGAACAGTCTTAAAGAGACACTCCCACCGTGCTGCGTGGCGGCAGCGGCGGCAGCAACCCCTCCTTGGGTGCCCAAGTGAAGAGCAGCACTGCCGGGTAGGAACGCTCTGATGTTCTTTTTAAAAACCAGGCCTCTGGGGCCGGCAGGCAAGACCCCACTGCCATCAACCCGGGACACAAACGCCTGTCCCCAACAGCACCCAGGGACTTTCACTGTCAGTTCCTCGGGCCCAGACGATCTGGGGACAGCTTGCAGAGGCTGAGCAGCTCAGCAACCCCCATGGCGCAGCCTACGGGCTCCCTACAGAGTCGGCCACAGACCTCCCTGTCCCGCGCCAGGGCCAGCTGCCCTCATCTAACCCAGGACCACACGGTAGAGCCTTTGCTCCTAGGCCCGTGGGGCCTGTCCACATACGGGAGGATAGAGAGCGCTTCTGAGCAGGCCTTGAGGAATGCACCAACCTGTCCAGTTCCTTCTTCAGCACTGGGGTCTCCATGATAGAATACCTTGGCATTGGAGTTATGGGCACTTTGGGGGGCAAGTTTTTCTTCCAATCAGCACCTTCTGGGTAAAACAAAAGCAGCACACGTTTCAGCACAAGGGGCACAGACTCACCACTTCTGACCCTGTGGTGTCACCAAGAGAGACAGCTTGGAGACAAGAGCCCCCACTTTGCCCCCACTAGAGCAACGGCCGCCCCTCACCACTGGGGATCCTGGCTTCCCACTGGAAAGTGGCAGGTGACACGCGTCTTGTGTATTAGTGCACGCTGGTGCCACATACATGGGGCTCCCACAGCTCAGCACATGCCTGAATCTTCAGGAGACACAAAAACGCTGACCCCAGGAACAGCCCGACAGGCGCAAGACCAATCGCCTTCAAGGAGACTTAAACATCAGAATTTGTCTTAAAACTCAAAAACAAACACATAAAAACCCAGCTAAAAATGGGCAAAGGAGCCAAATACCACATGGCTGACCGTGGCTGAAACCTGACCTCTGGGCCAGCAGGTGGCGTGGTGATTAAGGCTCTATACTCTGCATGGCTGACTGCAGCTCGGGCCCTGGACCTGAGAGCTTGAAATCCCTGCCAGGCTTCCTGCTGTGACTCCATGCTGAAGGCACTGTGGTGGGGCCCTCCCGCCAGGGGCTGATTTCTCATCCCTTTGTCTTTCCCCAGGTGTGCACACCCCCAATGGCTAAAACCTAAAATAAAAGGCAAAGGACCCACACAGACACTTCTCCAAAGGCTACACAGACAACCGGTGGACAGCCCTATCAGGCCCACACATTGAGACCGCAGAGATGCCACTGCCCGCCCACACTGTACCGATAGCACACGGCATTGTCGAGGAGGGGGACGCGAACCTCGCACACTGCCCGTGGGAAGTAAACTGTGTGGCCACTTCGGACACCAGGCTGGCAATCCCTCGCAATGCTGCTCAGTCACCACGTGGCCCGGAGACTCTGCTCCATGAGTCCACACAACACGCACACATGTGACCTATGTCCACATAACATGCACACATGTGACCTCTGTCCACACGATATGCACACGTGGGTGTTCACAATCACCAAATGATAATGGAGCTGTGTCCACACAACATGCACACACACGACCTGTGTCCATACCACACACACAGATGTTCGCAATCACCTAACAGTAATGGAGCCCTGTGTCCACACACCACACACGCAGATGTTCACGATCACCGAACGGTAATGGAGCCCTGGGTCCACACAACACACACATACGGATGTTCACAATTACCGAACGGTAACAGAGCCCTGCGTTCACACCACACACACAGGTGAAGGGTCATATGCAGATGCCCACAATAACCAGTGGGACCAGCCCAGGTGCCTGCTGGTAGGTGAGTGGGTGAGAGAAGCGTGGTCTGCCCACGCAGCGGGATGCTCCCGGAATGAAGCCTGACGTGCTGCCGCACGGATGGATCTTGGAAACCTCACGCTCAGGGAAGGCACCAGACACGACAGGCCGCAGCGCCGTCACATTTCTCGGAACCCCCAGGACAGACAGTCCAGAGACAAGGGTGAGTGGCTGCCCGGGGCTCGGGGGGAGCGTGGAGGCAGCTCGCGGACGCAGGATTATTTCTGGAATGACGAAACGTCTAGGTGAGACAGTGACAGCTGCGGTGAACCCTCTCGACGTACGCTTTAAGAGTGGGCTCTTGGCCAGCAGGTGGCATGGGTTGAGGTGCTGGATCCCTGCATGGCCAATAGCACGGTTTAAGTCCCCCATGGCTTGAGGATCATGCTGGGTGTGTGCGGGTGTGCCCCAAACCCCGAGGGGAGTAGAGAAGGGATTGCGGTGGGGTTAACTCCTGGGGTGATTCCTCTCTCTGGCAAATGCATGGGCCCTGTAACAAAAACTAGGAAAAACACATTTCCTCTATGAGGGAAAGACAGAGGAGACGGAGGGGACAGGGCCTTGCCGCTGTGATCCTTCCCACCCTCCCAAGCCACCTGCCGGCCCTGGACGCAGGCACGCACATGCCCAGACGGGAACCTCCTTCGTGGATCAGCTCTTGACCCACTGTGCCGCCACCTGGCCCCCACACTGAATCCATCCGCTCACCACAGACAATGTGGGCTGTCTCACCTGGATACAGGTAAGAGCAGAATTGCCGGGCTGTGGCCACACCACGTCTGACCTTTGCCCCATCATAAGGAGCACCTGAGGTCCCTGATGGACAGTCTAGGCCTCTCACCCAGGAGGTGTTGGGTTCGGGCTCTAGAGAAGGGCCACAGACAGGTTCTTCTCCAGCGCCCAGGGGGACTCTGGGTTAGAAGCTGGGGAGGGCTGGTCCACGCGTGGCAGCCCGCGTCCTCCACGTCCTCCCACCGCTGCAGGCAGGAACAAGGGCAGACAGTGGGCTCTCGCTGCAGGTCAGTGGCCCTTCGGCATCCCTGGTCCCTGGGTTTTCATTCCCAATCTGCACATCTCCATGGCCTTGAGACGGCGCCCAGGCCCCCATCCCCGCCCCCGCCCCCTGGCCACTCACTCGGGGTCTCAGGCCCTCCTGCCTCCTGAGCTCCTGGGGCGCTGAGCGTCTGGGCCCGAGGAACGGCCTCCGGCGGCTCCTGCTCTCCTCCATCCCAGTCGTCCCACAGAGCTGAGTTCAGGAAGCTTGGCCCGTGGCTCCCGGGGGAGCTGGCCCTGGGAGACTTCTCTCGAGATCTGCTTCTGCGAACAGGGGAGGTGCAGGGGAGCTCTGGGGAGCAGCAGTCGCCGTGGCCCAGCGCCTCCTTGGCCCCGCTGCTGGGACTGCTGGCACTCAGGGGGCCCGTCCGTGCCAGGTTCAGGTGGTCAATCGGAATGGGCGAGAGGGGCTCGGTGTTCCAGTAGCAGACCTCAACTGGAACTGGGGGGTCACTGTCCAGCAGGGGGCTGCTGCTTGCCTGGCGGGCAGTCACGTCCTGCTCATCGTCACTGTCCTGGACTTCCACCACGTCACTCACTGTGGCCACATTCTGTGAGCTTGGCCAGGGCAGCGAGCATTTCGGGAACCCCCTGGTGAGATCTGAGCGGCCCCCTGAGACCCTGGACCTGGGAGCCAGTGGGGAGGAGGGCGTGTGGTGTCCAGGGCGGGGTCTGGAAGGACTCCGATAGCCAAAAGTTCTTGGGGACACAGGAGCACAGCCCGCTGTCAAGGTCTGGGGTGTGACCGCTGAAACGTGTGCAGCTTTCTCCACTTCCCTGTCTCCTACGGAGGCCCTGGCTGGGAGATCAGGCACCTCCTTGCTGAAGGCCCTGGCCCTGAGGCTTGTGATCTGGGTCTGGGATGAAGAGTCACGGCTCCTGCCGGCCAGCGGCGTGGC